TCCCTGAAGTTGTGTGCATGTTCATAGAATATATCAAAACAGCGAGCACATACACGATTGAATTGCAAAATGAATAGAATTTGCATAAACATTTCAATGATTTCATACATCTATCATCTCATCATACAACTTTAATTCAACATCCATTCAGAACTCATCGTTCGAATCGCGTTTACGTTGTTGTCGCAGTGTTCAGTTGTTCACTTAAAGTTCAAGACGATCTGCTTTTTGAACAACACTGGTCGCTTAGAATCCTGAAATGTGCAAAATACTAATGTGGCTCGGAGGCAAGAGCATCGAAATTGTGAGCTGCACGAGGCAAATGAGTTTATGAAACGATTATGAAATACAACAATGATTTTGATCTCTGATTGATCTCGCTTCTGCAACATAGAAATACATTTTTTCTGTGAATTTAAAACACACAAAGAATCACCCCCAAAAAAGCAATGGCAACGAGCGTTATAATCTAACCAATCAACTGTAAATGATATCGATTTTTTCAGCCTATCACTCGGATTACGATAAACGATATGACGACAGATGGATGCATCATGTTCGGACGCATTACCGGGGCATGCACATGAAGCGGTTCGAGAGCTGACTGCCTCCACTTTACCGGTCTCCTTGAATCTGAATTTTTCCCCTATCTCAATCATTCCATGAATTCATTCGAGAACTGAAGGCAAAACGTCTACGGTTACACACCTACGTATCACTTTGCTCACACAACTGTGTGTTATGCCCAGCTGTCTGGCAATTTTCACCACTTTCATTCCATCTCTATACAAATTAATGATTTTGAGTCGATCACATGTCAACAACGGCCTTCCCGAGATGTACGGTCTTCCAAGACGATTCCGAGACGATTCACCGACTGAATGGCAAAAATCGTTGAGGATTTCATGAAATATTACCGAAACGATTGCGATTATCGGATAGAAGACAAGTCTCCTTCTACCTGTATCTGCAAACTGAACATGTTGTTCGTTCGTACTCTGACTGATTGCGTGGCTTGTTTCAAAGGGTTTCCGTTCTTTGACAATACCAGCGTTATCAGGCATAGTGTCAAACGGATGGTTTACGTAGTCATTGTGGTATTGAGGAGGTAAAGCCAAATAACAATGCTGAAAATGATGCTTTTTGTTTGGCAACATTTTATTTTCATCGAATTTGCAGTCATCTAGGAAGGAATTCAACAGAATACGTGACATTCATACATTGGTGACCATCAGTTGCTCGTACGTAAAACCCATCGCTTTGGCTGATCGGTGAAGCACGTTCAGTTATTTGCTCTGGCCACGATGTTGTCTCACTTTATTGATGAAAGACGTCGTCGTGTTCAACGTGGAAGTAGTAACTTGTACTAATCTTCATCTATATTACCGTCAGTAACACTTGTGTGATGGATGGATGCCACTGCAACAAACTCCACTCAAAATCAAATAAGTGATTTCAACATTGAATTTCGCTAGATTCGGACCACATCCATCACAATTCAGTCGAAACAAATCTCAACTCATCATCTCACTTCGATGCACTTATAGTGTTTGATCGGTGGGCGAACAAAAGTTTATTTATGGAACCTCGCGAGAGATTTTCCGCAAAAGCAACGGCAGCAGCAGCAGCAGCACGCTTCAATTGCTTATCATTTCATAATGAATATTTTCTCATAAGCTACAATTAAAATTAATGAAAGCAACAATTGACTTGGGTATTTTGCTTGTTACTGTTATACTTAACTTCGTTTCGCATCATTTGGCGCATTTTATGAACTGGAAATAGATGTGAGTGTCACTTATTTCCAGTTCTCCTTTCATACGCATCAAGAATGTTTCCGTTCAATTTTGAAAGCCACTGTCATCAAATTTTAGATTTTCACATCATCGAAATCTACTGGAACGCGTTCGATTTTCGCCCTAACTGCGAGCAAAACAACATTTCATTTGCTCTCCCTCAAAAACAGTAGTTTCCTTCAAAAATTCGAAGAATGCTTCAAAAGAGCTCCTCGGAAATCAAGCGATTTCCTCAAATCACTTTGGAAGTCATGTCCAA